TGTTCAATATAGGTTGGATTCCTTCCAATGCTTCCTTTTAAGGGGGTATTGTTTTCTATGAGTGTGTGAAGCCCCTTCTTTTAACAAAGTGATAATTGGTGTGTTTCACTCTTTGGTAGACCTCAGAGGGGACAGAATTTGCTGCTGTTTCTTTGTGAGTAGACATTGAAACCAGAGAGCAGTTTCAGGTGGGACCTGTAGGTGGAGCTGTTTCTTCTCTGGAGTAAAGGTTACTTGGGCATTCAACTTGCTTAACAAATCTCAGCCTAGGAGAGGTATTGGACCGTCTGGCATGTATAAGAAACTGTGTCTCAGTTTCTGTTCTCCCAGTTGGCACTCAAGAGGTTGGAGCATGGGTCGTTGCTGAGTCTGACCAACGAGTCACCCCAACAACTGCCAGCATGTCTTCACTAAGGGAAGTTAATTCAGAGTATAGCACAGAAAAGATAGCTCTAGTGTCAATTAAAAAATCCACTAATTGAGTCCCCACTGTCAATTTTACCTGGGGCTCCTATGGGGATATTTGGATTGGAGCTTTCAGTGAGGCATGGAGCCTCACTAAAGGCCTCTCATTCATCATCCGAGTCCCAGACTTGAAAGGCCATTTGCTCTCCTGGGGTTTTCTTATTACCTGGAGCCCTTTGCACCTTTGGGCAGTGCTCTTTCCAACGTCCTTCCTCTTTACAAAAAGCGCACTGGTTGTGCCTCACTCTGGAGTGGCCTTTTCCACCCTTTGTTTTTGACTGTCTCAAAGGACCCTTGGTTGGCACAGCTAACAGAACACGCACAGGTTTCAGTTTCTGTTTTTTCCTGGTGTTACATACTTTGAAGGTGATGTCAACCAGCTGGAAGGGATTCATGCCAATTGCTCCTTCCATGCACTGCAGCCTTCTCCTCATATCTGGAGCAGTCTGCCCCATAAAAGTCATATTAGCCATGCGCATGTTTTCAGGGGCATCTGGATCTGCATCGGTATATTTCCAATATGCCTGATAGATCCATTCCAAAAATCAAAGGGATCCTCATTAGCTGTTTGCTATAACTCCTGGACCTTGTTTAAACTCCTCTGTCTGGGCACTCCCCTCTGGAGGCCTGCCAGAATACACTTTCGGTAATGATTTGTTCTCACACTGCCTATGTCGGTATTAGGATTTCAGTTTAGTTCTGCCATTGGGATGGCAGCATTGGAGTCTGGGATTTGATTAGGATCCTTGCCATAGAGACGCTGTGCCTCCATGGCCTTGTCTTCACTAGCCTATGCTCATCTGCAGTACGTAATATATTCAGTAAGGTCTGTATGTCCACCCAAGTGGGATGGTGCATCGCAAAGATGGTTGTAAACAACTCCATCATTCTCTGGGGGTACTCTGTGCAAGTTGGGTTTGCGTTTTTTCAATTCAATAAATCCGAGGTGGAAAATGGGGTGCAAGTCCAATAATACCCTGCCAGCTGTCCTTTCACTTTTTCAAGCCTCCTGTGGGTACTGCCACAATGGTAATCACCCTGCTCCAGCTATGGGCGCCCTCTGGCTAAATTGAGTGCCCTGCTGGCTCTTGCAGGGGGGAGACCATTCCCATTTCCAAATCATAACCTGGAGGACATAGGATCGAGGAATCGGTCCCAGCCGATCCCTCCCTGACCGTGGGCCCTTCCACCAATGGTGGAGGGTGTGGGGTGGGAGTGCAATGGTGGGAGATGAGGTGTGCTGAAATTTGGGTTGAAAGTGTTCATGAGGAATAACCTGGCTAATTTCTCCTCAATTTTGTCATCTGGGGTCTGGCTCCCCTCCCCAACTATGGGCGGAGGTTTCCTTTGCACCATTAACTTTGTCCCAGGCCTTTCAGTCTCTTTATTATGCAATTACATAAAAGACTGTACATATGGGATCCCATTGACCTGACATTTGACAAAATAATTCCAGTTGTAAAATAGTATAATAATTTAAGGTTCCGTTCAATGGCTACTTCTCCTCACACCCCAACACATACATTGGCCAGGTGGTATTACAATAATACATCATTCTTTATTCAGATATAGGTTCATGGCTATAAATTGACCATTCAACCAAAATTCTTCCCAAGGGACTTTCAGATGGAACAGAAATGGAGCCTCCCATGTTAGGAAAAATCTCACAAACAATATAGGGAATTCCCAACACAAACAATCTAAAATTCCAAGGCCTGTCAATCAAATGGGGATCCAAAGGGGATAAATGCCACCCCAAACTGTGCCTCCACGACCCCAAGTGGCACCTCCAAACAAATGTCCTGCCACAGGGCTGGAAGGTTCAAAGCCCTCCCCAAATGGATGGCCTGGTCTCCCTGTTCCCTGGGAACTGCAAATGAGCTCCAAATCTGAACCAGCTTCACTAGTTCCAGTCAACCTCATGACTTCCACCCCAAACAGTGCCTCCAAACAAATGCTGTGCTATAGGGCTCCAAACGAATGCCCTGCCACAGAGCTGGAAGGTTCAAAACCCTCCCCAAATGGGTGGAATCAAGGTTCTTGGCATGCACGCTGGGGAACTTACTCATAAAAATGTCCGAGACTGTCTGGACATTTCTAGATCCATTTCCTTCTCCCCAGTAAGGTTCAGGTAGCTAGGAGCTGCATCTGATTCTGAGGAGGCAGAGACGGAAGCTCCCCTAGAGTTAAACAGGCTCTGGCAGCTGCTGCAGTGGTTCCTCTCTCTCTCACCCAAAAAGATGGTCCTTTTCCCAGCAGAGACCCACGGCTTGACCCAGGGCTGCTCCCTGCCTCTTGCAGCTGTGGCCACAGTCACAGGATGCCGTTCCGACAGGGTGCTGATGAGCCCACCCAGGGACACCTAATTCTGTTACCAAAAGCCTTGTCCCCAAGGCCACATCAGAAGAACAAGGACAAGTGGTTTGAGGAAAAGGAAAGAGAAGTTTATTAATTTGCCGGAAAGTGAGGAGGTTGGCAGACTCCTCTCTTAAAGTACCAATGTCCTCTTTCTGAGCAGGTACAGAGCTATCAAAGGTTCTGATTCATCCCATCTTTGGCTAAGACAATCTTATGACCTCTGCCTGGACAATTCCCTTGAGCCATCTCCTGTGGTTCAAAGAACTAAGGACACTCCCCTGTCCCTCCCAACCACTGGCCTGGAACAGGGATGCAGGTTTCAATTACCAAAAGGAGTGGGTGAGGTTTTAGAGAGACAGAAAACATTTTTACCCTTTTTCAGGCCATTCCCCCTATTGCACACATATTTAAATGAAAGAAGTCAGACACAAAAAAAAACATATATTGCATGATGCCAAAACTAATCTATATGACAATAGAAGTCAGAACAATTGTGGCTACCTTCTGGTGTTGAGTAATTGGAGGAAACATAAAGGAGGCTTCTGGCATGCTTATAATGTTCTGTTTCTTGATCTGGGTGGTACCCATACAGGAGTGTTTATTATAAAGATTTTTGAGCCAAATCTTTACAATTTATTTATTTATCTGTATCTATTTTATAGGTCAATAAAAAATTCATTTAAAATTTAAAAATTCACCTAGCACTCTGAGAGGCCAAGGCAGGAGGATTGCTTGAGCTCAGGAGTTCAAGACCAGCGTGAGCAAGAGCAAGACAGCATCTCTACTAAAAATAGAAAAATTAGCCAGGCATCATGGGGTGCACCTGTAGTCCCAGCTACTTGGGAGGCTGAGGCAGGAGGATCACTTGAGCCCAGGAGTTTGAGGTTGTAGTGAGCTACCATGACATCACTGCACTTTAACTAGGGCAACAGAGCAAGACTCTGTCTCCAAAAAAAAAAAAAATTAAAAATTCAAACCAAAGCTAAAAAAAGAAAGTCTAACTTTTAAACATGTGCTCAAAATGAAAACACAAGCACCAGATCAACATAAATAAGTTTGGAAGGAACAAGCACTTACCTGGCCAGCACTTCAAGCATTTGTAATATTAGAAGCAGAAAATAAAATGAATATGTTTAATAATATAGCAGAGGAGATAAAAACATAATCAGAGGACAAAATATTATTGGTTTTAAAACCAGATTGATTGAAAAAGATCTAAATAAACCCCACAGAAATGAAAAATATATAATCAATCATTGAAGTTTTTTAAAAATTTAATTTTTAGATGGTTAAAGATCAGATTAGACATGATTGAGGAGACAATTGGTGGCGTGGAGGACAAGTCTACAGAAATCATTCAAAGTGCAACAATGAGAAGAAAAAGATGAAACAAATAAAAGAGGTTGAGATACATGGAGAACAGAAGTAAAAATTATAACAAATGATGGATTGAAATTCCACAAGAAAAACGTGTGTGTGTGTGTGTGTGTATGTGTGTTTGTGTGTTAGTGTATAGAGAAAGAGAGAGAGAGAAGGGCTAATTTTCAAGAATTATAAAAGATATAAATCTATAAACAGAAAATTATAATAAATACCAAACAAGGAAACAACCAAATCCATACCTAACAATATAGTGACTCTGGGGACCATTAAAGTGATTATCTATTAATAATTTTCTTTCCTAGTTACTAATGATCTGATTATTGGTAACAAAATACATGAACCAAAATTCCTCTCCTTTGATTCTTCCAGTATTGTTCCATAGGATATGACATCATCTTGCCGAATTAATTTTATAGCTACAAGTCTTCAAATGGTTCTAGAGCTGCTTTGAGATTTTACGTCCTTAGAGGCCTATATAATATTTGCCTGAACTTTATGATCGCCCCTCAAATAACTTTTCATGCTTCATTTTCCAAAACAATCACAGAGGGCTATGGAAATGATTAATGAATGTCCTCTTAAAGCTGAAATAGAAATTATCAGTCTTTGTGAATAAAAAGTTATATTCAAAGAAACTTCTCAGACATTCGTGATTTAGATGTCAACAATATCTCTTGATAATGATGATTTTTGCCACATTTCGGAATTTAATGATGATTTGTCATTATGCATAATGTGTCTGTGTGCAATACATTTTTTTAATGATTTGTCAAATTTTCCTGTTCTTTCTCTAGCAAAAATAGATCCCCCAGTCATGAATATAACCCAAGTGAATGGATCTTTGCTGGTGACTCTCCATGCTCCAAATTTGCCATATAGAGACCAAAAGGGGAAAAACATATCTATGGAAAATTACTATGAATTAGTATATCGTGTTTTTATAATTAACAATTCACTAGAAAAGGTAAGTTCAGATGAATTGATAAGGTTAGTATTTTTTTCTTTTGTTTATTTAAGTAACGTTTTGGCCATATTCTATGTTCTGTCTTTTGCTACACTATCTCCTCTTATTTTTCTCTTATCTTTTTAAAATTCCTTCTTACTTCCACCATCATTGATCAACAGCTAGTGCTCACATCCCCATCAAAATTTGTATATGTGTGCGCGCATGCGTGTGCATGTGTGCACATGTGTGTGTGCACACGTGTGTGTGTCTTCGAGTACCTCAGCTTGTCTCTGCTTGGTCTTCCCTGCATATCTAAAGATTGGTATTAACGATACTTAATTCCATGTGACCATGACTATTCATTTTTATGGGCTTTACACACTTTATTTTAAAGTAGTTTTTGAATCACAGCATTATAAATTTGCACCAATTTTGTTATGATATTCTGTTCTGCCATCAGTGCCTATATCTGGGTTTGGTGGATAATTGAATGTTCCTTCTTTGGTGTCCATGTAAGATGGGATTCTTTTGGTTGTAAGGAGTGGAAATCCCATTCAAACTTATTTAGATACAAAAGAGGAACAGCGGGGAGTTTTATTAGGAGACAGATGAGCCGTCTCAGAGACCGGCAGAGCAGGAAATGGCGCGCTGGCAGGCTTTGCTGGGACTGGGATGGGGAAACGGGTGGGGAGCTCTGAAGGACCCTGCTCTGTTGGAGTTCCCGTCTCTCTGTGGCCACAGGCTGCACATCTACAGTCATCTCTGCGCATCTACTCCACCCTCCTCGCAGCACAGTTCAAATATGGAAAAAGAGACGCTGACCACAGGGTCATTCAGTCATCAGGGAGAAGTCATGTAGCACCTGAAGGCTGTTTGACCGGTCCCTTTACCAGGCTATGGCCTGGGACTCTGGGGAAGGAGGATGTGTCTGGGAAGGAACCTACAACCCGTCTACTGCAGCCACCGTGTGCTACCATGACCACGTACACCTTATTAATTTTAACAAAAATAGAGCAGTGACTTCCTGGCAAGCACTTATCATCTGATTTTTTTTCCCCTGTGTATAGGAGCAAAAGGTGTATGAAGGGGCTCACAGAGTTGTGGAAATCAAAGCTCTAGCACCTCGCTCTGGTTACTGTGCAGTGGCGGAAACATATCAGCCCATGTTAGACAGAAGCAGTCGGAGAAGTGAAGAGAGCTGCGTGGAAATTCCATGAGGTGGGACGGAGCGCTCCGCGCCGCGGCAGCCGAAAGCTCCCTGAGCGTGCGATGGCTCGTGTCTGAAGGATCTTACTTAGAACTGTTTTCATATTTTCTTAAAGCAGTGTTCACCGTTATGCTTCAGGGAACTTCTTTGTGTATCCATTCTTTATTTCTTTCTATATCATTTGTAAACTATACTTGAACAATACCCCCCAAAAAATTAGAATTTAAAGAAGAAGCAGAGAATATAAGGCTCTATGAAATACAGAACTTTATTTCTGTATGCAACATCCCTAATAACAATCTTAATTCTCCTAAGACAGCAAAATAAAAATTGAAGAGCCGAGCCATTTAATAAAATGTTGAAATAATTTTTTAAAAATAGTGTTACAGACTTAGTCCTGGAGCAATCCTTTTTCACTCTCTGTTGAGTCAGTTAAACTGACACAGATATACCATTTAAAAATTTTACCTAAAAAAAAGTTTTCATACATTTCTATTTTATGTGAGTATACTTTTTATATTTTTTATGAAAAATTTCTACTTAATGAATCAAAATTTTGTTTTAAATTCTGTTCTCTGTGAATTGGAACAGTAGTAGAAAATTCTCATGACCTCAGGATGAATATCTGAATTAAGTTTATCGACAACATCTAAATATTGAAGGAAGTCTACTCAACACAATTTTCCCTCATGTTACACATACATTAAAGATTTCTGTCTTTGTTTGGTTTTGTTTTGAATATTGTCTTAGAAGAAGTTGTCCTTAGTCTCAAAATTGGATACAATATCTTCCAGCAACAAAGAAGAAAAGAAACTTTAAGTCTATGCCACATTCATTACTCAACCCACTTTGCAAAGGGTCTCTTGCCAGTAGCACCTTCACAATCTCTGTACAGGTGGATCCATGAAGGACAGTTTGACTGGGGACAGTGGGGTCCAGGTAGAGAAGTCAGCTTGAAGCTGAAAGCACATGGTGGGTGGTAGGTTTGTTTGGGAGGAGGACTGGTATGGGCGGTGAAGACAGAGATTATAGGGCTAATCCAAGCTGGAACCTCCCTCACCTGCCGGCTCCCTCTCCTGAGTACACAGCCAGTGGCCTAAAGCTCAGTGTGAGCAACACAAAGTTGTCCCCTTTATGGGGACTCAGTCTCTATATGTTGTTAAGGTTATCTTTCTTGCGAGGAGACATGTATCGGAGAACATCTATACAATTCCTCATGAAAATTGCTCCAAAGTATAACAGAAATACAGTCAGTGCTTCTGGCTATATATTAATATAGTTACTCACAGTAATAAATAGATTAAAAGTATTCAGAAATGCATAGGAGGAGAGAATAAGAGAGCAAGAGCTAGAGAACTAGTTTCACGGCTTCCCATGTGGTCAGAAAACATTGAGCATAGACCTAGAGACTGAAAAAAATCACTTTTATGTCTGTTTTTGTATTATTATTATCATTACTATTTTGCTTACTACCTTTTGTCCTTTTAGGGGAGGGCGATGAATTAAGAGCAGTGGGTGGGTGGGGAGTGAGGATTGTGTGTGGCCAACAGCATTTAAGTGTATGAAATTCAGTAGTCCTGAAGCCTGACTTATAAGAAACAAAAAACATTTATGGTTGCTTCATGAAAGTTATTAGGTGGCATCAAGTTTTTTTCTATTTTGTTTGCCTTGCTTTGGTTTTGCTTGCGTGCTTAGGCAAGTACAAAATACTTTGTGAAAATCATAATGGTCACATTCTTCATTGTGTTAGGAGTATATTGTCGTACTATTTCAATAAATCTTTTAAATTTTTGTTTTGCATTCTGCAATATTTGTTATTTGGGCTTTTAAAAGAAGAATACAATGTTTAAGCCTGTCAGATAAAATCCCAATGAGAAATCATAGGCCACACTAAGTCTCAACCAGAAAGGAGCAAACAACATTGAACGGGAACTTTAGGCACTGGTTGAATTTGCCCTGTGATCAAACGATAATTCCACTCTTACAGCTGCTGGGGTCAAGAGCTTCAGGACCACCTTTGACTCCACCCTTCTCTCACATCCTATATTCAATACATCGATCAATTCTGCTGGATCTACTCCAAACTATGATGCTCACTCCACTTAGCTTAGCACCTCTGAGGAGCACAGAGGACCGCAGTGGTGAGGATGGTAGGTGTTCAAGGTGGTGATGGGGGCTGCCAGGGTTTTCTTGCTTTCCTTTTCCCCGTAGGTAGATGTCCCTTCCTGGCTGATCAGACTGGGAGAAAGGGTGGCAGAGGCAAGGTGTTTCCTTCTGTTCTCTATGTCGCCATCCTGGGTTTCTGCTACTTCTTTTCATGTACTCTGGTGCTCTCCTTTAACTATTTTTATCAAAATATGATTGTTTATTTGTTGCTTTGGCTGCCTTTGTTGGGAGGACGAGGGGGAGGACCTTCTAATTGGCCAACTTGCTGATGTCACTCTTAAGTTGCTTTTAAGGTTAGGATCAATAATGTCTATGGTATCTTGATTTGCAAACAAAAAATCAGAAATTTATTTTGTAAATTAAGCTCCAATGTTTCCAAGACAAAAAGAAAAAGAAAAAAACAACCTGATGAGATAAAATCTGATTTAGAATGAACTCTAGACAAGCCTTTGAAAATCATAACCATTTTGAAATTCTCACACCAAACTATACGGTTTCCCTAATTTACAGATCATTTATCCAGAGAAATAAGTGACCTCGCAGACTAGAACTTTTCTTATTGTTTTAGTGGAATTTCTTTTGTTTATTTTATTCTGCTTGTTGGGATCATGTTTCCTGGAAAGGAAAGTAGGCCTTTGTTTCTAAACAATGACAAAACTCACTATATGGTCAATTGCTGGATTTTGCTTAGGCTGAATCCCCAAAATTGATCTCTACAGAATAGGGGATGCCCAAGGACAGGAACCTCGCTCTCAGTGCCCCCAAAATATTAATATAAATCTTTATTCAGCTCAGACCTCAATCCCTTCCAGCACTTCTTCGACAATAGCTAGCCTCTCTTTACCCACAGCTCCTGGGCGTGATTCGGGCAGTGGCTGGTCCACCAGCATTCCTTCTGCCCGGAGCCCTACCTCTTCCTCCTTTCTGACTACCAGTCACATACAGAAAGCAGCCAGTTATGCTGGACTGACACTGTCACCAATGAGCCAGTTCTGCCAGATATTTGCATGAGGGGCTTTATGTCTGTAAAAGATTAATTTGGATGGTGAAACTGATTGCAGACGATGCTGTGCAAGTGGAAATGTATGTTTTAGGCAGAAGGGCCCTTCACCCTGCCCCTAAAATCATACTGTGCCCAAGGCTGATGATCCTGTAGATGGGTCTGTTTCATCTTTTTAGAGGTTCGGGCAGGCACAAGCTAGGTGAGAAGAGGCAGAGGGTAGCTAGCGTGGCCCTCTGCACAGCCTCCCCCCTCTTCACGCCCACCCCAAAATTCCCACACCACAGGCCCCAGAGCTCTGCTCACTCTCTCCCTTCCCAGTCCCTGTCTGTTACCTTGTCAAAGGGGTCTTCCCACCTCCCCCCCCCACATGCACAGGGCCATTCCCTGGTGGGACCTGCCTCAGATAGGTCCATCAGGGTCTTTCAAATACTCCCACGGAGTGTGGAGGAGAGAGGCTGGCTCTCTCCTCTGGAGTCACGCGCTGTAAGGCTCTGCTAGGCCAGGAGCTGCCGCCTGCAACTTTCCCAGCAGAGGGAGAAAGTCCGCAGAGAATGAAGCCAAAGAGAAGGAAGCAGAGGGGAGATGGGAAGAGACGAATTCCCGATGGTATTCGAGTAAATCCAGCTGTGCTGAAAAACAGCCCAGCTTCCGAAATTGAACTTTAAATGAACAAATTACTTTTTCCCCTTACTTTACTTTGACTTGAATTTCTATCACTTTCAACCGAAAGATCATTGACTAATAGAACAAAATAGCAAGTATATGTGGTGTGAATTATGTATTGTAATAACACAAGTAAACTTCTTTTATGTCTACTGTCACCTTTAAACATTGAGGAGAATGTTGCTGGAAAATGTGTCTTTCTGCAGATGATGCGATTAACGCAGTGTGAGCACAGGGAAAGCCCCACAGAAAGGTGCATGGTTATTCCGGTCAGGGCTTTATCAGACAATGTGTCAGCTGAGGTCTTCTGTTTTAGCAAATTCTCATCTTGGTTATATCCTGTGGTTCAATTCACAGCTTCCTTGGCACTAATCACAAGTGAGATTTTATTTCTACTCATTTTTTTTTTTTTTTTTTGAGACAGAGTCTCACTCTTTTGCCCGGGCTAGAGTGAGTGCTGTGGCGTCAGCCTAGCTCACAACAACCTCAAATTCCTGGGGTCAAGTGATCCTCCTGCCTCAGCCTCCCAAGTAGCTGGGACTACAGGCATGCGCCACCATGCCTGGCTAATTTTTTCTATGTATTTTTAGTTGTCTGATTAATTTCTTTCTATTTTTAGTAGAGACGGGGTTTGCTCTTGCTCAGGCTGGTTTCGAACTCCTGAGCTCAAACAATCCGCCCACCTCGGCCTCCCAGAGAGCTAGGATTACAGGCGTGAGCCACCGCGCCCGGCCTCTACTCATTTTTATAACAGCAAATCAAGGTCCCATCTAATATTTTTCAGAGGTCATATGCCTGCAGGAATGCTATAACCAAAAAGCCAGTATTTCCCTTTTGCTCTATTTAATATAATTTTCAAGGTCAAAAAGTCATTTTAGAATGTTCCAACTTTAGTCCAGAAATATTTATTTACTGACATCCTAATATACAGCCAGCGCAAGGCTAGTGAACAAACTCTATTGTATACACATCAACAGTGTCCTCAGTACTTGTTTCAAAGGATTACTTCCTCTCTCTCTCTCTCTCTCTCTCTCTCTCTCTCTCTCTCTCTGTCTCACTCACACACACACACACACACACACACACACACACACATACACACACACACACACACACACTCAACATCTGCCACTGTGGGCTCCTCGCATGCCATCTCTACTGTTTTGAGAACAGGGCTTCGTAGC